CGTATGATGACGAAACATAAGACTTATAAGCACAAATTAATAGTAAACAGAACCATGAAAAATACGAAATTCGGTTATTTTTAGCTTTCTTTCCAGTAACGTATTATTACTATTTTACGTTGTTTATTGTTGTGCAGTGAGGAAGCTTCACTTATTTGTCAACTGGAAATAGAATTTTCTTGGTATTGCAGAATGAAAAGAAAAAAACATTATCGAGAATACTTCAAATATTTCCCTTTTTTGTTTTGCCGGTGTCATGTTTTTTGGTTCCTCTCTATTATAGTATCCATGTATATTTACTTTGGAATCTCGAAACGATCGTCATACCAGCCTTTTAGGTCCCATTAGTCTAGACATATGCGTATACTCAGAAAAAAGACTTCTTATTCTAACACAGAGTGTCCATTCAATTTCATTGTATTTCACGTCACAATTCTCATTGAGTTTGGACTTCGGATGGAGAACTTAGTTCTTGCAATCTGTCTATTTCGACATAGGACGAAGATCTTGATTCTTAATTTCTTATCAGATAAAACTAATAGAACAAATAGTACTGTTATGGACACTATTTTTGGTCATTCTGCTTACTAAATCAATTCTTAGAAAATGAAAGTGTTATGTTTTCAAAGATTCTACACTGAAATAGCAAAGCCTTCTAAAGGCAATTGGCAGCTAGACAGCAATTTCAGATTGGTTTCAATTAAACAGTGGATAAATATTTCACCAGAACCAGTTAATCCAAATTAATGTTTATCAAATACTCTTCTGTCCTTCGAAGTTTGCAATTGGTATGATTATAAATAAATCGAATTTCGTTCTTTTTGTGGAACTCACATATATTTACGAAGAAAATGGTGAGTGTAAGTTTAAAGGCGAGATTTTTGCGGCTCCCCACCCCCCCTCCCCATTACAGACATTAATGAGTTTAAAATTGTACTAATTAGCAGCTTGACTAATTAGGCTGCTATTTCTTCCTTTTTCGATTACAGACTACACGAAAAAAGCAATGTTTGCCCATTACAGATCATAGTAACGAGCTTAGGGTACCATTACAGACCATAGTAACTAGTTTAGGGTACCATTACAGACCATAACAACCAGTCTCTGGCCTTGTTAAATATACGAGCTAACAATTAATACTCAATTACAGACATAAGTGCAAATAGGCAATGATCTAATTATAGGTTTTAGAAATTAGGGTAGATTTTTCAGATGAATTATTTTGAATTATTTTAGTAAGCCGAAGGGATATATGTGAGTTCCATATTTTAGCCCCAAAGGGGCTGCGCTAACAAGCTTTTTTCATTTGTTTTCATTTATAGAATGTTTATTCATTCATTGTAGATGCTTGCTATTGAGATACGAGGTAATGGTTGCATAAACAGTTTGTATTTCTTTTATTGAGTATTGAGGGTAACCGTAAGCACGACCATGAATCAACTGAGATTTATGTATTTACTTGGGCGCTATTAACAGAAATTGTTTATTATGTTTTTCATTTGTACTTATTATTGAAGATCGATAGAATTCCAGCATATGCAGTTTACGTTTTTTTAGCGAAAAGTATTGCGAGCCAATTCATACCATGACTACAGAGTAAACATGAGCATCAATAATTCGAAGTTGTTTTTAAATTTTTTTCCCAGTAAGAGAAGTTTTCTCTCTATATATATATTCATCGGTACTCGTTGCCGATTCCAGAGACGACGATTGCAACTGTATTTTTCATGTCAATTGGCAATCAGAGAACATTGCTTCTGTCTACAACAACTGAATGGAGAACATTGGACACAAACAACTCGAAATTTAAGTTTTTTTTCCTGTTTTTGTAAGATATTGGTGTAGGCATAGATATTCGTTTTTGGATTATACATGGGAGCCACGATAATGAGTTGGTTGTGAGCTACCAAAAATTATGAGAGGTTTGCTTATTCGTTGAGAACTTATTCTATATAATTTTTATGAAAGATCTGTGTGGGTGTAGGTGTGATTGTGAGTATTGGCAAAGAGAGACACGCCCACAGCCACCCACCCACACCAACCCACAAGCACATGCACACCCACACCCTCAAGATAGTTTGAGTGGTACATACCTTATTTTACTACACTGAAAACGGTAACTGGTCTTATTTGTTATGTTGATTATTAATCTTTTTTTATCAACCAAAGAAGTAACCAAGTCTTATCAACACGCACATCTTTGTTTCTCATATATACATTCAGCGGGATTCAATCTCGTCTTATCATATCTGATGCCTAGATCCTTTCGAAAGATCATCCTCAATTGTGTTCGGTATTATGTGAACTGCATTTAATCAAAATAGTTTTGATAAATCGAAGAAATGATCAATCATTGAATTTATCATAGAAACGACTCTGATCATGTCAACTGTTACGTTTCAAGAATTGTCTAATCGAAATCATTAGAATTACAATTGATGCGAAAAATGAAGCAATCGTAAAGAAGAAATGACGGAAATTGAGGAAGTGGGTGCGTTTGTGTCGATACAGATGCGTGTTGCATATGAATGTTCTCGTGTGTGGTTCTGAATCTGAATGCAGGTATAGGTCTAATGGAAAAATCTATAATAACAGGCGCCATCACACAATTACTGAGCAGATACAATTTTTACTCAGCAGAAACCAACTGTGTATATTCGTTCAATTTTACTTAATAAAAAAAATATACGCATTATAAATGGATGCAGAAAATGTTCTTCTATAAACGGTCGTGCTTCTAGATTATAATAAACGATCACTGAAAGTCTATTTCATTGTTCGTGTGAGTGTTGAAACTGGTTCATGATCTTCCTGATTAATACTTCTGCTAATCGTCGAAGCCGAGATGGACAATCATGAAAAAAGCACCGCCAGAGAAAGTTACAAGCATTGTAAATTATTTCTCCAATTTTCTTCGTAAATGTCTTAATATTAGACCAAATCGTCTCAAAAAAATCACAAACATTGGACCAAAACCTGTCCCAGAAGTTATTTGGGGATGTATTTGATTCTTGTGTTGTGATGTTTGGATCAGTTTCGACTTCGGTGTTCATTGCGTTTTGCATGGCAGTTTGTAGAGCTGCTGCTTCTTCATCGAAAGCATCCGGATTCGAAATACAGGCTCCAATTGTGAGTAAAACGTGTTTTGCCGAGGATTTTTTCTTATAATTTTGTTCTACTTTATATAGAGTTTTGGCTTCAAACCTTTCTGGCAAGCTTTGTAGACATCGATTTACACGTTTGAAATCTTCAGAGGCAGGATTCTGAATCTCGTCAAGACGCTTAGAAAGATGATATGTTGCATCATTCAATTGCAACTTGGTGTGACATATAAGACAAAAATAGGACGGATAGAGTTTGAATGAATAGATAACAGACATGCAACTATTACACATGTGATAGCGACAGGATTTGTATTTGCATTCAATCTGATAACGATACGGTAAAATTGTATTGAGAGTCTCGAAGCACGTACAGCAATCGCCTAGACTGCTGTTGGATACAATCTTTTCGAAATTTTTCTGTGACATTCGCTCATCGAGCTTTTCAAACTCCAGAAGATTCACTTCGCTTACGGTCCTGCGAGGCATATTTGATATAAACAGATGAAACTCCTGGTTTATGTTCACGAAGTGCAATCTAGATTTTAATTGGTATGAAGCAGCAAAAGTTGTCTAAAAGGTGAAAGAAAAGTGAAGAAGTCAAACAAGTGCTTTCAACTTTATGCTTTTCTGTTTGTTGTCGAAATTGATTAACTGTAGAATTCAGAGGATCGTCCAATCATGCAAAGCTTCACAATATCGGCCACATCTATTGGGTGTGAGTATATGAAATATCATCTGCATAAATAACTCCCGTAGAAAAAAATAAAACATCAAACAATAATTGCCACAACCCATGCAGTCCCTCAAGGAAATAATGAACATTATTATATTGTAATTCAGTCCATTGCAGCGTGATTTGAAGGTAGACAAACGGTGATATGCTCAGAGACGTGGTTTTAAAATTGGTGCCCATAGATGAGCATCAATACGCGAACGATTACAGGTCGAATTCTTCCTCACAAACCTGAAAGTGATAAAATCTTCAATGGGCCCCTCTTCTTTTCGACTTTCAATTATTTGGAAAAACAATTCTGGCCATATTACGGCAAACAAGTATTTTATCAAAGTGCAATGGCGAAAGGTTATGACTTTTTTCTCATAAAAGGAAAGAAACGCTCATCTATCCTATGAGTTGAGTTTCAACAATAATTCGCACAATCAGGCCTTGCGAGTATCATCTTGAATTGACAAATGGGAGTGACTAGACTACTGTTTCTAAGCGTTGAGATGGAATGGTTTTCTAAAAAGAACAGAAACTTTTGATTCTATTATGTAAATAGTATTCATCTTCTGAACATCGATACTTATCCTTTCGAACTTTCGTTGATGCGCATTATTCTTTTACAAGGAATAACGCTGTTGTTAGGTTTAACTTTCACCTTTATTTTCTTTATTCTTTATATAACCCTTTATTTCTTAGCAATCATCACTAATATATAGGAACAAGGTTGGAAAAAATGAGCCCTGTCATTATTCCAAGATTCTAGAATTTTCATAGAATTCCTAATTAATCCTTTAATAATGAAATTTTACATCTAAAAATTATATATCTGTCACGGTTCTTGTATTATCGGAATTTTAGAGTTATCAGAATAATAGAATTATGGGAATTTTAGAATAATTGGAATTTTAGAGTTTTGAGTGGGTGTGGGTGGTGAGGGCGAGTGTTAGTCTTCTCCACACTCACACGCCCACAGGAAATCACAGACCAGAGTTTAAAGCAAAATGCAACATATCTCTTCTTTTTAAATTTAATCAAATAGTATCTTTTGAACAATCAAGATCATTAGTTTTATTATTTCTTATAAATTGAGAAAAGCAGGCTCATTAAAAAAAAAGCATAAAATTTCATATTCTAGCAGTGTAGTTTTAAGAATAAACTCCAAAAATCTAAAATTACTCGTTGCCAATAACATTGAGTACTTCATAGCAAACACCCATCGTATGATAATCTACTTTTCCTGCTGGCGACTTTTCATCGGAATATTTTTCATTTGCTGGTGTTAATATTCGATACCATGCACCATATTGATGATCAACAAAATATTTCCAACTATAGTCCCATATTTTATCATACCATTTCCAATATTTTTCATCTTTCAATCTATCACCAAGTAGAGCAGCCGTTGCGAAACTTTCACACTGGACCCAAAAATGTTTATCACCATCATATAAACTTCCATCAAGACGATAGCCATAAACTAATCCACCGTCTTTTTCATCCCAACCATATTTCATTGCACGATCAAATAAACGAATAGCACGTTCAAGATGCCACGGCTGTGGATCATGTCGATCAAGTATAAGTAAAAGTTTTGCCCATTGAGTTTGATGTCCTGTTTGAACTCCCCATGGACGAAAATTATTTGTTCGAACATCTTTATTATATTCAAAATCTGGTGTCCAATCAAGATGATAATGTTCCCAAATTTAATAATGTAGTTTTTCTGAACTTTCTGTCATTACTTTCGCTAAAGTTTTTGCACGCTCTAAATAAATGTCACCAGTGGTAGCTTCGTATGCTGCTAGCATAGCTTCGAATGCATGCATATTATCGTTCTGTCCTCGATAATCGTTTAATTGCCAATCACTTGTTGCTTCACTCGCATATAAACCTTTTTCTTGTAGCCAAAAATGTTTTTCCATTAAATCATACGTTTCACGAAGCCATTCACGTGCTTCTTCAATGCCAATACGTAATGCACATGCATATGCTAACATAACAAAGGCTAAACCATAACAATGATTCGTATCATCAATTATTTTTCCATCATAAATAGCCCATGCATAACCACCTGTTTTGGGATTACGATGAGTATTTCGAATATAGTCTAGACCATGACGTGTTCGTTTAAGATAATCATCTTTACCAAAATAGAGATATGCCTTAGCATAATTAAAAATAAATCGTGTTGACGATACTAAATGTCGAGTATGTGAATCATAAACCGTTCCGTCATCTTCATAACAATGATAGAAACCACCTTCTGGATCAACAGATTTATCATAGAAGTCAAGTATACGTTGAACATGCGAAAGTAAAAATGAACGACTTCGAAAATTCATTTCTGTCATAATACTATCTGAAACAGACTTTCATTTTATATTGCAAGGCCATAGTCCAACACAATCGAAAAGCAACAAATTCTCTGCGCTTCTTCATGTCGATAGCACACCTCATTCTTTTTGCTATGCTGATAACAGAAAACAAACAATTCTATAGACTCACCGGATTAAGACAATAAAAAAAGCTTCATAGATAATTGTGAAAAGAACGAAAGAGCGCATATGCTTTTATCTTGAGCAGAATAATTCAATAATAGAATAAGTTTAAATATATGATTATCTTGAATTTGGTTGAAAGTAAAAATGTCGAAACTCAGTAAATACTTCCAAACATTTTTTTGCTCTGATAATCAATCAACCAACAGATTTGGTTCAAATCAAACTTTTATTATTGAAAAAAAAGAAGACTAAAAGACAGCCAAAACATTCTTCGAAAGAATTCTTGATTCACCTCAAAATAATGTTTTATTTACTTATAAACTTGTTTAAAATTTTGAATCAAAATTAGCAAATGAAACCAAACTTAAAACATGAGATCTCTCTTTTATTGCTTTTAGTATCATAGACGTCTTTGACATTAACTTTTGAATTGCAAGTTGTGCATCAAAGGCGCGCAGGACATTATTACACCCCCCTACTTTTGAAATTTAATTATACAAGATCTCTATTTTAGACACTTTTCTAAGTGAAAAACTTTGTGCATCTCAAAATTTCCCGTCCACACACTTTCAGTGATGATTTACACCCATGACTTGTTTGACCCTCATTTACAGTATACATAGTTGAGGAAATAAGAGTCGTAAGAAATTAACCTAAATTTGGGTGTGGGCGTGGGTGAGGATGACATACATGAGTGACAACAACACTAACACACCCACCCCACACCCACCCCACACCCACACCCACACCCACACCCTAAAAGTTTTTTCTACGGGTAAGGTGTCATGCTAGGGCATCTATATACTGTTGAGATGGTATCCTTTTCTCATTTTCTGCTCTTTGGAAAATAGTTATTGGTGTTCTTGTTTTTTCTTCTAAACAGTTTAGTTAATAAAAGAGATTATCTTCTACTTGATACGAAATATCACGCCTTTTTGATTAAGTACATTAAAAGTAGATCATAACAGGGTTCTTCTCAAATCGTATACCCACACGCTTACACCCTCATCCACACCCACCCATACCCACATCCTCAAGATTCTAAGATCATCTGAATAGTTACTTAAACAGAAAGTACCTAATGAAACTATTGAATAAGGTGGAAGAGCGTCATAGTTTATTCAATACAGTCACATTCTTCGACTATATCGGTTGATAGTTTCTACGATTCCATTTTGTATATGACAATTGCAAAGATCAGAAGTCCAAAGCCAACAATGTAACTGGCAATTATCAACCCAAAGGCAGCTTGGTATAATTGCTGGTTACAATATGTAGACAAAGTGTGATTGGTAAACTGTGTTGTGCTTTGTACTGTAAATACTTGGTGAAGAGCGAAAAAGAACCCAGCAACAATTAGCGTCACAATGAAAGCGAAGCCGTACGCGAGGCCTCGCCATGAGTAACTACTGTCTTTTGAGCTGGTTCTTCCGTCGGCATATGTAGTAATCGTAGTCGTAATATGCTCTGTCGTGCCAGTATTGGTATAGTGGAGAAAAACGATTACCAGAATAGCAAATAGAAGAATTCCTTCAGTTACTCCAACGCCAACGAGGCAAGGACACACAAGATTAACGCTGGCGCACATTGCGCCGCTATATGCAGAGCCATAGGCAAACTCCGTTATAGGAATAACCAGATATATGATACACCAAGCAACGAAAAGCAGTTTCCTTTTACAGCCCATACTATTAACAGTTGGAATACGGATCGTTCAAAGCGTTGATCTTGCACAGAAACTCAATCTTTAATGAGCGTTGTTAAATATAGAATGATATATATTAACTCTAATATGTATAGAATGAAGAGGATATAAAAGGAATGAAAGAGAGACATATTAAGAGCGAAAGAGACAAGCAGTGTCACAGATGTTATGTGACAGAACGAAGAAAAAGTGAACTTCGTGGGACTCGAACCCACACCTTCCGCTATCCGGGCATATGTCCTAACCAGTTAGACTAGAAGAACATCTTAATCTTCGTTTAGTGTTAGTAAGTTACATCACTAACGCTAACGATGAAAATGGAGTTTAGAGTGACTGACTATCGTTCTGCTGAAAAAAAACAGTTAGCGTTATCTGAAATTTCTGTATTTAGATGAATGTGTATTCATATTTTAGAAGAGAATGTGCACACTCATACTCCACTCTTGCAAAGTGACGTACGAGAATGATCATCAAACAGCAGCCTCAATCACTTACATCAATAGAATCAACGGGAAAAGGTAATGTATGTTTTGGAGGACAAACTGGTCAATCGCGCAAGCAACATATTTTTTTCGTTTACCTTGCTGGTTCAACAAAATTAATTGAGATCAGAACCCTTTCAAATCATTCACTATCTGAAGATGCCATGAAATCCGAAATCTGAGAAAGATATCTCACCCTTAGCACAATAGCTTACCAACAATCTACTATTGACTCACATTCAGGCGTACAATAAAAGAAACGATTGAATCTGGTGTGCAGTTTCTCTCTATGGTAGCTGGCAGGCATAAGCAGACTGTTACTTTTTTAAATTGCAATGGCAACATTTGAAATCGTCACCAAGGCAACTACGCCTTCACTTGCAGAACGAGAAGAAATGCAGTATTTCATTCTTGATTCACTTTCGTTGATGAGAATCACGTAAAGTGCGCAACTTCGAAGAAAATACTGGCAAACTCAAGCGTTTCGGTGAAACGAAAATTTGACACAAGACTTAGTTTTATAAGGTGTTCTGTTTATACATTTGGGACTTATGACATTTGTGAAACTCTAATGAATAGAAGATTTTTTTTAACCAGGAGAAAATTCTAAACAACAATGATTATCCTGGTGAAATCGGGAGGTTTAGCAACCGTGATCGCCTCTTTTCCAATCATCGTCTAGAGACTGCTTTTATTTTTAATTTCGACGCTGTGGAACTCTATACGCATTTGAATTTGACGTCTGATTTTTTGCAGAAGGAACATTGGTCCTACATTGTAAACTAGAAAATGCATTATAGAGTATAGTGAAAGATATTCTAGGAAAGCCCATACGAATTCATTGACGAATTTCTACTTTCTCGAAAATACGATTTTCAATAAGATAGAAATAAGAAATTCGATTTTCTAGCTAGAAAATCGGATGTGAATTCGTATGAGCTTTTCTAAAAATTCGCATTTTATTTAGTAATTAGAGTATTTTCCAGAAATTGGAAATTCAATTTTCATTTTCAATTTCAAATATATAGAGAATATAATAAGATTTTATCCTCAAAAGAAACAACTAGTTATTGTCTTCAGCAATCAGATCTATGGTTCTAAACTGATGGTAGATAAAAATTAATGATATAAACTAAAATTTTAGGATTCCATTAAAAGAGGAAAATTTTCTAAGAAAAAAAAGTCTAAATGTGTAAATATTTCGATCAGGAAAAAATGACTTGAAATGCGGTACTAAATGTTAAATGCAATAATATAATATCTTGGGTGTGGGTGTGAATGTGGCTGGGTTTCCCTGCCGTTCACTGGATGTTCCAAGCATAGCCCACATCCGCACCCACACCCACCCTCAAAATTTTGATTGAGTACCCGTACTTTCAAGTGGTATATCTCGAGAACGGCTCATCCAGTTAAGCTAAAATTTAAGGCGTATGCCTAGCTCTAATGTAGATATCTAGTGCAAAACTAGCAGCCAAATTCTTGAGATCAATTGAGCAATGGTGGTCGTGGCTTACGTGCAATGTCTCCTAGGCAGCCCTCAAAAATTTATCGAGGCCACTTCCGAATAGGACCCAAAAGGTTATAGGGACCATCCACAGGTAGGACGTAAAAAGTGACAGGGATCACTCCTGTAGAAGTCCTCAAAATGGTTACAATAGTTAGGAATAGTTGATACACATTGATCGATCAGTTTCTACAAATAATCTGCCCTAGACACAATTATAACTTAGTTGCTTAATTTTCTGATGAATTAAGCTTTCACTTAATGCGTAATTTTAAGTATTAAGTCTTTGTGTTAACACTTAATATTAAGTGGTTAAGTGCTTATGAGAAAACTTAATCTCTTTATATTAAGTGTTAAGTGACAAAACTTAACTTAATTTTAAGTTAAGCCAAATGACGCACCCCTACAATGTTATGGAGCAAACTCTACTCTACAAAATCTACTGAGTTACATTCAAGGGAGGAAAGGCGGATTCCATGGATTCCGAATCCCATGAGAATTCCGGGAATCCCGAGAATCCCATGAAAATCTTGAGAGTCCAGAAAATATAATTTATATTCTGGAGGAATCGAAGCATCAATTAAAGCAATTAAACGAAATAGATTATACAGATAAATTAGTCGTTGTGAAATAAGAACTTTCTATCATAAAAAGTATAATGCAAAGTCTTTTTTGCTGAAATTCATAATTCTCATCACCGAAGTAATAAAGTCATAGCATATTGATTTATGGAAAGAATCCAGTTTATGCACTTGATATTATAAATTACAAGTATTATCTAGGATACATAGATAAAACAAAATGATGTACATAATTATCATGCCTGCAAAATGTAGTAAGAGACTTGTTATCAGTCAAGAGAATTTTCAATGAAATCCTGTACGCTAAGGTTGTGAAAAAAGTCATCTCTACAAGGCGTATCACTGAACTATTCTAGTTAATACATAGAGATAATAATAGAAATTGATATTTCGAATGCAATCTAAGAAAAAAAATTTTCATTGCTAACTTTTTGAAATACAACTGAAATGATTATATGATTATTACGTGAGTTTTTTATGAAGTTACGATTGAACTATGGCTATAAAAAATTTGTTGTTTGATACAACTATATTACCAACAGAAGTGCTCTCATTTTACGATGATAAATTTTTCAATATGGTCGAGAGAGTTGCAGGATCAGCTGAAGCAAAATTGTTAGCAGCTCAAGGTATTCGAAGTTTATACTCTTTTTTAAATACAGAAGATGTATTTGAAATCCTGTCAATTTCTTGTTCAGCATTAAATGATATTAAGGGATTAGTTTGTTTGAAAGCTGATGATGACACCTACATAGTAAAACTAGGTTGTCGAGCTAGTATTCAATACCTCTATCAACTGCTCAAACAAAAACATGAAGAAATTTTGAAAGTCAATCGAATGAAATTTAAACAAAATCAACAATCACAATCTCAAATATCAGTGAAAACAATCACGATTCTGTCGAAGATTCATCGAAAGATGACTCGACATTATCTTCTCAGCAACAATCATCAACAACGACAACAACAACAACAACAGGTTAATCATTATTTTACTATTGATTTTAGTTTTACTATGAGAAACTCAGATTTCAACTAATAATGTATTTATAAAAAAAAGATGAATTAATAATAATATAATTTTTCTAATTCAGAACTTTTAAGTGATTTCTGATAGTTATTTAACCTTCAATTGAATTTGCTACATAGCGTTTTAATATTTAGCTTGATAAAAAAAAAGATTGCTAGGCCCTCTCATAAACTGAGACGTTTGCTATAGATATAAGCCTTTATAATTTCTGTATTGTACAAATATATAAAGAAAAAACTACGTTAGAGCAAGATAAAAAGGGCTAAGTAACCCGGAAGAATTAAGTACCTAAATTAACATAGTCTAGCTCTAATCTTCGTACTAGGATTTTGTCCCATATTGAAAACGACTAATATTACAGAGCTGTTATCTTAGTTTATTTGATATATTAGTGATAATGAACAATAAATACACATGTAAAATCATTTTATGAATCAAATGAGCGGTTGAAAAAATTCGTGAAAATTCTTTTTATCTTTCTTTCAGTAGTAATAAAAACTAAAAAAATTACTTTTATACCAGAATAAAAGAGCGCTACGTAAAATTCATCAGCTTGCTATTTTTAACACTATACTATAAAAAGAAAACATTTGAATTAAATCTATTACTATCAGGTTCGGCAATGAAAACAGAGATGTCAATCTATAAATATTTAAATATCTATATTTGCATAAAATATTATAATTTAGATTGCACAAATGAATTAAATCATCATGATTCAATCATCAATATGTTGAATGAATGGATTCAAAAAAACTGTCATGCAATGAATATGTCTAATAGCAAATTAATTGGAAATCAAGATTTTCAGCTTGCCATCGTGTCTAATGGGTCCAGTTCAGAAGCATCTATATGTTGTTCGTGCGGTGTGAAAGTTCAGTTAACACGAGTGTGCTTTAACTTTTCATTAAGTAATTTTTACAAGCACATTAGGTCGAAAAATTGTATTATGATGAAAAAGAAAAAGATTACACCCAACGATGCTGATGAACTTAATAGCCTAGATGAATATGAATTAACGGATGATACAACATCGCAAGCTGTATCGATCAATGAACTGGCACAAGGTTCGGCATCCAGTATTACTATTGGCCATAGTGTTGGTACAGTGATGTCGTTGAAGAGGACGCACAATATAGAACAAGTTGCTAAAAAAAACGTATTAAGCTTTAAAAATTTCATGAAATTCGTTTTAGTACATTTTTGTTAAAATAAGTTAATCGTTATTGTAGGATAATTACTTTTTGTACTATTTCATATGTCAATTATGATTATGTATTTTATTCGATGATGTAAATACTTGTTTTTAAATAAAATTAGTTCGAATAGAGGGTTCTGCTACTGTAAATATCTTTGATTTCCCCATTCAGTCAACTAATTCTAATTCGGATATGATAAAATATGATCACTAATTCTAGTGAATTATAGAATATTTCAATAAGCTATAGAAATTGTAGCATTACTACTAACATGATGATATATATATCGCACATATGGTCAGCTATCACAAGTTCTTGATATACTCTACCGTATTCTTATTTAGTTTCGCTCAGTCATTTCCTTGCATCACATTCTTTATCTGATCACATTTACTAAGTTAGCTAGCTTACAACGGTTGAACACTTAACATGAGAAAAAACGTTCCTTTAAAATTCAAACAATATATTTCAGTCCGCTCTAACTAATTTTTCTTTCTCTTTTCGCGCACGACGAGAAAGTTCTCTCTGCCTTTTCTCTCTCACATAAATATATGGGTGAATCGTATTCTATTTGTACAATTGTACACAAGCTACTAATTGGCAAATAACTTTTGTTTCACAACTCCAATTGATTTGAAAATTTTACAGAGTACGCATCTAGGTGTCTCCCTACACTTCTGAAAGCTTCAGGAGTCAATATCATTTCTATCTAGGGTTATGCTTCGTAAAAGTGAAAAAACATAAAAAATTAGCGCTACCTCTCGGTAGAGTTGAAAAATTTTCAAATGGAAAAGTTTATTGTCGCATTTCGTTTAATGAGAGAGATATAGGAAAATGTTCAACGAATCAGAATATGACTTTAGTTTTCCTTAAAAATGCCTTATTTGATAAATAAATAAAAAATATTGAGTTGTCACACAGTTTGTCTTTTTTTGTCCCGTTATCTTAAAATATGATTTTCTCATGAAAGAAATATGCTAACCCACTCGGAACAATTTAAAAAATAAGATCACTGGTAGGCACAACTTCTCTGGAAAAAGTACTAGATTTAGTCAAAATATTAAATGGGTATGAGCAAATATATTTTCAAAAATTCTAATGTATACTCATTTTGTCCCGTTATTTTTTGAAATTTGTGACTTAATTATCTCTTAATTGGTTTCATTATTTTACATGAAATTTATACTCTTTTCTACTCCCTATGCTACCTATATCTGATAAAAAATTCAACCTACTCACATGTTCTTGAACCAAGCAATCGGTAAATTATATGTAAAATGTCCCGTTATGTAAAACCATGAATATCTCAATCATTTTTAAGTCAGTTATTAACTTATAATACACCATTAGATTGGTCATTGGTAGGTCGATCTAATGGTATAAGTTTCAGAATGAAGTTTAGTTGTATTGTTGAAAATCGACAGAAGATCTCTTCTGGTTTCAAAATAGCAATTTTTTCCTGGATGCTTGAAGATTTAACCTCGTTTCAGTGTGCTTGTGGCTTTTATTTGTTATCTGAGAGTGTGCTTGTGACGAGATAAGTTTCTACAAGTGTACTTTTTGTTTTAAAGCGTTTTCAGTATCTTGAAACAAGAACTGGCAAGAAAAAAGAACGACTTATTTCAAATTTTACGACTTTTTCAAACATTCCTCAGGTTTAATTTTTATTCGAAGGTTCGGCTATAAAGTTTTTTGACACATATAATATAGCTGGACTAATTGGTGCATTTTTCGTTCTTTTATATTAAAAACTATTACGTTTAAAAAAAATCCTCTGAAAATAATTATATGAACTTCTCACATTGTATTAAGGATCTTATTTTTTAAGTAAAGTGTAGGGAAAATACGTTTCCGGTAGATGTTTTCGGTTTCTCTATGATACTATGCATCTATTTTTCTAATATGAACACTTTCATTTTTTTGATTTTTTTTCCTCCAATTGTACAAATGGAATACGATTCACCCATATATATGATGACACTTCACATATTCGCTACCATTCCATAATCCGCCGTAGAAGAAACACGTTTCTATTACAAATAAAGCAACGATCATCATATTGTTTCACTGACTTAAAGTGAACCAGTGTATGAAATGTTCGAAAAATTTCAACAACTTGTATTGCCTGCTGATGTTCTCACACTTGAGGGTGAGAAATTTTTTGAGCTGGTTACTCAAACATGTGGAGAAAGTTTTAAAGAATTGATGGAAGTACTTTCAATCAGTAACGTTTATAAACTACTATTGATTGAAAAGCTTGTTAGCGCAGCCCCTTTGGGGCTAAAATGTGGAACTCACATATATCCCTTCGGCTTACTAAAATAATTCAAAATAATTCATCTGAAAAATCTACCCTGATTTTCAAAACCTATAATTAGATCATTGCCTATTTGCACTTATGTCTGTAATTGAGTATTAATTGTTAGCTCGTATATTTAACAATGGCAGA